CAGAGCTTAGTTTAAAGTTAAGATATCTCTTTGTTTACTAGTTAGATTATCTGCTTGTTGTTGCACTAAATTATAATAGTTAAATTAGGCATCTTAACCTACAGTTTATTAAGGAGCATTTTTGTAAACATAGCTTCTTTAGCAACTTAGAACAGTGCAAGTAATTCTGCTTCTGTTGTTAACATTGTAACTGTATTTTATTTATTTACTTACTATGTAATCTATCTGCTAAATAGTTAAATAATGTCGCCCTAAGAGCTCTTTTTATCTAGTGTATTATCTATAAATAACGCATTGCTTACTACTATAAGGTAGTCTTCTCCTCCTAATTAGAGTGCGTACGTCTGTGTCGCATGTAGGTACAGGATAACTTAATTAGCTGCATTCTAATAGTTAGATGCAGGATTTGTAAGAAACTGTGTAAGGCGTAATGTAGCAAAGGCAATGTCTAGTCTTGTAGTAACTGCTATAAAGAGCAGAGATCTAATCTTCTGCTAATATTAATTTACTTTTAATAGGGTTGCAAAACTAGATTACAGCATAAGTTTAATCCTACTTATAGGTGTAGCATGCTGCAGGTCCTTTCTGTTAGCTAGCCTAGCTATCTTGTTAATATATAAGGCCTATAATAGCTAAATTATTTATTACTGTTAATCTTTAATAATCTTAACTCCTAGGAACTATTATAGGTCCTTGCCTTTTATTAGGGTATACTTCTCTTGTAACTAGTCTACTACACGCTGTGCATCTACTTTAGAGCCTTTTCTGTGCGCAATAATAAGGTTGTCTACATAAAAGAAAATAAATATTCTAGCTTTAGTTATGTAGTAGGGTTTTTGTAGAACAGCTAAGAACCTAAGGCCTTTAAAAGTTATTATAAAATAGTGTTACTAGAGTAAAGAAGAAATTTATAGGCTATATAGTGCTTTTTAAAGCTTTAGTATTATACTTAGTTTCTAATAGCCTCTTAGCATCTGCATGTAGATATTGTAGTTAATTACTACATGTATAAACATGTTAGTTATGTTATATTATTTAAGCTTTAAGTTAAAGCGTACAGATATTGCTATTAGCATTTAAAATAAGCGTCCTGCTAGAGTAGCAGTGTAGGTATCTTATATAGTAATGTTTCTTTATTAATTACTATAGACTACTAGTTACACCTTGCATCTTTATAATCTGTAGTGCTTATTAAGCTTATAGGTGTACACTTACATATAATCTAAGATCTACTATCTAGCTGCCTTAATTAGCTTTATCTAGACCTCTATCTAGAATTTTATTATCTAATAACTATTTAGGTGTGTTCTTTTTACTGCCTTAAACATCTTATGTAGAGGGTGCTTTTTTAGTTACTTTTAAGTTAATAGTAGAAGTAGCAGCTAGCTTCTATAAAGTGTTTTTTTTTTAAATAGTATTTTTATTAATGCTGCTTTATTTAGTGTTTTACTACTATACTTTTCTACACTTCTAGATCTTATACTAGCTATAAAGGCTATAGCTTATAGTATAGTCTTTAACAACTCTATTTAGCTTAGCTTTAGTGCTGCTCTAGCTATTAACTGCATAAGTAATGCTGCAGGTAGTAAAGTGTTTAAAGAAGACAGATAGTTATCTCTAATTTTTCTTCTTTAATAGTAGCCTAGTAGGTCTACTTTGTTAAAATTTAATGTATTATTTATAGTGTTGTTTTTATAAAATAACTTTATCTCTAGCTAATAACTAGGTGTTAGAAGCTTAATTATTTTAATGTATATAGTAATTTCCTTTACTATGTTATACATAAGGTTATTTATTAGGTCTTTAAGCTTACTACTAAAAATTAAGTGTTTATTAAAAATAACATTACATGTATAGATTACTTTTGCTAGTAGTAGTATTTATACATAGTAGATGTTTAATAATTAGTACCTAACTAGATATCTAATCTACGCCTTTAGGTCTAGCCTTTATAGCTTAGATTTATTCTAATGCATGTTATTAGTTATTATAAATGCTTTATAGCTATAAGCTTTTAAATTAATATAATAACTTTATTATTTAAAGCTGCTTATGTAAAGAAGATCTTATATAGTGTCTTCTAGTTATTAGCATAGTTTAGCGTCTAATTATATAGGTATACACTAGCTCTAGTAATGTATATCTATATGTCTTATAGTAGGTTAGCATTTAGTTATATAGCCTATAACTTCTTCTTATTTACACTTTTTAAGCGTTTAGCTTCTTTGTTCTAGGCTTGTGTATCTAGTGCTAAAAGCTTAACAGTTATTCTATGCAATGCTAGCTAGCATTCTACTTCTAGTTTTACTGTTATAATTTTATTATTAG